GGTGGTGGTGGGTTACGGCGAGGAAGAGGAGGAAGGGGAGAGGGGGCGGCGGGGGGGTCGCCAACGGCCTTTTATCTGCAACGAGTGCGGAAAGAGCTTCAGCCATTGGTCCAAGCTGCTGCGGCACCGCCGGACCCACACCGGGGAACGGCCCAGCACCTGCGGGGAGTGCGGCAAGAGCTTCAGCCAAAACTCCCACCTGGTCCAACACCGCCGGACCCACACCGGGGAGAAGCCCTATAGCTGCGGGGACTGCGGCAAGAGCTTCAGCCAAAACTCCCACCTGGTCCAACACCGCCGGACCCACACCGGGGAGAAGCCCTATAGCTGCGGGGACTGCGGCAAGAGCTTCAGCTGGAGCTCCAACCTCATCCAGCACCAACGCATCCACACCGGGGAGAAACCCTACAGCTGCGGGGAGTGCGGCAAGAGCTTCACCCAGAGCAAGAACCTCATCAAACACCAACGCACCCACTCGGGGGCTCGGCCCCACCGCTGCGCCCATTGCGGCCGGGGCTTTGCCCAGAGCGGCAACCTGCTGAAGCACCAGCGGGTCCACGGGGCCGGGGGGCAACCCCGAGATGGGGGGCCACCGGAGCCTTTTATCTGTGTTGAGTGTGGGGAGAGCTTCGCCCGCAGCGCCACGCTCAACCGCCACAAGCGCGTCCACAAGCCCCTCTTTGTCCCCTGAGAGGGGGGACACGCGCGGACTGACCCATGGGGACGTGGTGGCACGGAGCTGGAGGACATGGGGACTGAGCTATGGCCACGGGGAGGAGGTGGCACCAAGCTGGAGGACACGGGGACTGAGCTATGGCCACGGGGAGGAGGTGGCACCAAGCTGGAGGACATGGGGACTGAGCTATGGCCACGGGGAGGAGGTGGCACCAAGCTGGAGGACATGGGGACTGAGCTATGGCCATGGGGATGAGGTGGCACGGAGCTGGAGGACCTCGGACCAAGCCACGGGCAAGGGGAGGAGGTGGCACCAAGCTGGAGGACATGGGGACTGAGCTATGGCCATGGGGATGAGGTGGCACCAAGCTGGAGGACATGGGGACTGAGGTATGGCCATGGGGAGGAGGTGGCACCAAGCTGGAGGACATGGGGACGGAGCCACGGGGACAGGGACAAGGTGAGACAGAGCTGAGGGACACAGGGACCGAGCCATGGACGTGGGGATGAGGTGCCACCAAAGTGGGGGGGACAGGGCCCGAGCCCCGGGGACAGGGAGGAGGTGACCCCGAGTGCGGGAAGAGCTTCACCCAGAGCAAGAACCTCATCAAACACCAACGCACCCACTCGGGGGCTCGGCCCCACCGCTGCGCCCATTGCGGCCGGGGCTTCGCCCAGAGCGGCAACCTGCTGAAGCACCAACGGGTCCACGGGGCCGGGGGGCAACCCCGAGATGGGGGGCCACCAGAGCCTTTCATCTGTGTTGAGTGTGGGGAGAGCTTCGCCCGCAGCGCCACGCTCAACCGCCACAAGCGCGTCCACAAGCCCCTCTTTGTCCCCTGAGAGGGGGGACACGCGCGGACTGACCCATGGGGACGTGGTGGCACCGAGCTGGAGGACATGGGGACTGAGCTATGGCCATGGGGAGGAGGAGACACCAAGCTGGAGGACATGGGGACTGAGCTATGGCCATGGGGAGGAGGAGACACCAAGCTGGAGGACATGGGGACTGAGCTATGGCCACGGGGAGGAGGTGGCACCAAGCTGGAGGACATGGGGACTGAGCTATGGCCATGGGGAGGAGGTGGCACCAAGCTGGAGGACATGGGGACTGAGCTATGGCCACAGGGAGGAAGTGGCACCGAGCTGGAGGACCACGGACCGAGCCATGGGCAAGGGGACAAGGTGGCACCAAGGTGAGGGACATGGGGACTGAGCTATGGCCACAGGGAGGAGGTGGCACCAAGGTGGGGGACACAGGGACTGAGCTATGGCCATGGGGAGGAGGTGGCATGGAGCTGGAGGACATGGGGACTGAGCCATGGACATGGGGACAAGGTGCCACCAAGCCTTGGGGACACAAGGACTGTGCCAGGGACATGGGGACAAGGTGACACCAGGATGGGGGACAGACGGACTGGACCACAAGGATGAGGTGCCACCAAGCCATGGGGACACCCAGGTGGCATCACGGGCAAGGGGACGAGGTGACACCAAGCTGGAGGAGACATGGACTGAGCTGGGGACATGGGGACAAGGTGCCACCAAGCCTTGGGGACACTCGGTCTGTGCCAGGGACATGGGGACAAGGTGCCACCAAGATGGAGACATGGACTGAGCTGTGGACATGGGGACGAGGTGCCACCAAGCCTAGGGGACATCCAGATGGCACCATGGGTGAGGGGAGGAGGTGACACCAAGCCTTGGGGACACAAGGTCTGTGCCAGGGCCATGGGGACGAGGTGCCACCGAGATGGAGGAGGCAAGAGCTTCAGCCAAAACTCCCACCTGGTGTGGGACATGGGGACTGAGCCACCCAGGTGGCACCGTGGACATGGGGACAAGGTGCCACCAAACCTTGGGGACACTCGGTCTGTGCCAGGGCCATGGGGACGAGGTGCCACCGAGCTGGAGGAGACATGGGATGAGGTGCCACCAAGCCTTGGGGACACCCAGGTGGCACCGTGGACATGGGGACAAGGTGCCACCAAACCTTGGGGACACTCGGTCTGTGCCAGGGCCATGGGGATGAGGTGCCACCAAGCCTTGGGGACACCCAGGTGGCACCGTGGGCATGGGGAGAAGGTGCCACCAAACCTTGGGGACATCCAGATGGCACCGTGGGCGAGGGGAGGAGGTGACACCGAGCTGGAGGAGACGTGGGACGAGGTGCCACCAAGCCATGGGGGACAGCCAGATGGCACCGTGGGCAAGGGGAGGAGGTGCCACCAAACCTTGGGGACATCCAGATGGCACTGTGGGCCAGGGGAGGAGGTGACACCGAGCTGGAGGAGCCGTGGGAGGAGGTGCCACCAAGCCTTGGGGACACTCGGTCTGTGCCAGGGCCATGGGGATGAGGTGCCACCAAGCTGGAGGAGACATGGGGACGAGGTGCCACCAAGCCATGGGGACATCCAGATGGCACCGTGGGCGAGGGGAGGAGGTGACACCGAGCTGGAGGAGACGTGGGACGAGGTGCCACCAAGCCATGGGGGACAGCCAGATGGCACCGTGGGCAAGGGGAGGAGGTGCCACCAAACCTTGGGGACATCCAGATGGCACTGTGGGCCAGGGGAGGAGGTGACACCGAGCTGGAGGAGACATGGGATGAGGTGCCACCAAGCCATGGGGACATCCAGGTGGCACCATGGGCAGGGGGAGGAGGTGCCACCAAGCCTTGGGGACATCCAGATGCTAGGGGAGGAGGTGCCACCAAGCCTTGGGGACACATGGACTGTGCCAGGGACATGGGGATGAGGTGCCACCAAGCTGGAGGAGACATGGGGACGAGGTGCCACCAAGCCATGGGGACATCCAGATGGCACCGTGGGCAAGGGGACAAGGTGACACCGAGCTGGAGGAGACATGGACTGAGCTGTGGACATGGGGACGAGGTGCCACCACCCCTTGGGGACACCCAGGTGGCACCATGGGTGAGGGGACGAGGTGACACCGAGCTGGAGGAGACATGGACAGGAGGACAGAGCTGTGGACATGGGGACGAGGTGCCACCACCCCTTGGGGACACCCAGGTGGCACCATGGGTGAGGGGACGAGGTGACACCGAGCTGGAGGAGACATGGACAGGAGGACAAGGTGCCACCAAGCCATGGGGACATCCAGGTGGCACCGTGGGTGAGGGGACGAGGTGCCACCACCCCATGGGGACACCCAGATGGCACCGTGGACATGGGGAGGAGGTGCCACCAAACCTTGGGGA